ATTAAAACTAAGAACTTCTGTTTTTCAAAAGACAAGAGAGGAAAAAGGCAAACCATAAAGTAAGAGAAAATATCTGCAACACACATAGCCAAAAGAAGAGGAATATATCCAGAGTATATAAAGAACCTATGCATCCCTGAACAGAAGGTGCTTAATAAAAAACAAAAACTCACACAAATTTATAAGAAAAAGGCAACGCAATAGTGAAAGAAAAAAATAAAAATATGGGTAAGAGACGTGAACAGACAATACACAAAAGAAGATGGCTACGAAGCCAAAAAACATGATAAGGTACTCAATCTCATCAGTAATCAAATTAAAACCACAAGGGAATACCACTACACACTCGCCAGAACAGCCAAAATTAAAAACACTATTAATAGCTAAGGATGTGGAGCAAGTGGAACACTTATGCGCTGCTAGTGGAAATGCAAAGTTTTCCAAGTAAAATCACTTTGGACAACTGTTTGACAATTTCCAGTACAGTTAAAAGGAACACACACATGTGCATGCATGCTCATGTGCACACACACACACAAATATATGACCTATATTCTACCTGGGTATATACCCAAGAGAAATTACACTTTGGTAGAAATATATCTACCAAAAGGTAGGTATAAAATATACACAGCACTTTATTCATAAAGCCCAAACTGGGAGAGTACTGTATGTGAGTGTGTGTATAGTATATTCACACAGTGGCATACTATGTAGCAATAAAAAAGTCTGAAATACTCATACATGTAGCAACATGGATGAATCTCAAAAATATAATAAGTGGAAGAATTTAGACATAAAAGGACACATAGTGTTCAATTCTATTTATACTAAAGTCAAAAACAGGTAAAACTATGCCTTAGTTTTAAAACCATCTCATAGCATTGTAAGTTAGAATAGTAGTTATCTTTGCAAAAGGAGGACAGGGTAATGACAGATAGGGCTTAAGTGTGGTTTCTAAAAATCTTCTATTTCTTGACTAAGGGTGATAGCTAGCTATACAAATATTTGTTTTGTGAAAGTTTTGTTCAGTTTTCTTTACTTGTATAACATTTTATAACAAAAAGTTTAAATTCAAACAGCCCTGTAAGAATTTTTATACCCAGCTATACACTAGTCAAATTATAGCATATACCCTATTGGTTTACATCACAATTTGAAACTTAATTCAACTCTTAAGCTTACTCCATGATAAGTCTCAGGAGCCAAACCACATACAGTCCAAGAGGAGCCAGTCCCATTAGATACAACATTAGCTACATCCATTTGGGAAGACCTTGGTAACATCTGATCTCAGGACTAAGGGGTGGTGGTGTTTAGAATAAAAGATTAGCGTGAGATTCCTCTTTTCTTTCTACTTTTCTTGCCTCATGGGAGGGACAGGAAAACTATTCCCACTACAGGGACAGTTAGGCTTTCCCAGATGCTTGGTCCACATCTAGCCTGGGAAGCTATGGTCCTACTGTCCTTAGCTCAGTGGAGAACAGATGAGCATACTGAAGCTGTGTGTCCTCAGAGATACCAGCAATAGTGGCAGAGACTTAATCTCTAGGTGGGATGAGAAGGCAGCAGCAGAAGGCAGGAAGATGCTTTGCCTTTCTGGGCTTATCTGCAGTCATCTTTTCTGAGAATGCCTCTGCTGCCTCTCTTTTTTTAATCAAACTCTATATATGTCATTCTATATGCCATACACTACACCAGAAATACACTGAGAACCAAAAGAGACATGGTTTCAACCCCATGGCTTAAGGGATCAACACTCAAACATAAAGCACAATTGTAAATAGTGAAAAAAGCTATTTAGGAATAACAGAGTGTTTTGATAGAGAACAAAGGGAAGAACTCTGTTACATGCTTTGATGTTTGACTCTAAGCCAGGCTCATTTTCTTATTCCTCTGCGCTAGCTTTCAGCTAGCTATCTGAAATAAGAGTTAAAAATAGTTTTTGTCTAGATAGGACAAAATGACTTAAGACTGCAAACTGAGTTACTTTATCCAACATTAGTTGGTCTTGACAGGTCAATTAAAAACCATGTTTCTAGTTGTTACAATGACAGGGTGGGGTGGTGACACCAGCTTCCTTCAATGGGTGGAGACCAGGGATGCCAGATGTCCTGTAACACAGAGAATCGTGGAACACAATGAAGAATTGTCCTGTGTACTGCCAGACTTTAGGATGTCTGCCAGATAGTCATGCAGGTGAAAAGACTGTAACTACCTCAGGCTAGAACTTAAGTCCACTTTACATTTATACACAAAGTATTTTTCACCCAGTTTTATATACCCTGAATATTCCAGTCCAATCATTAATATAACACATTTCTATCAATTTGCACTTGTACTTGTGGCATTCACAGTGATTCATGTGTAAGTATAAACATTTGACTATTTCATTAAGACTTTTAGTGTGCTGGCTGGGCGCAGTGGCTCATGCCTGAAATCCTAGCACTCTAGGAGGCTGAGGTGGGTGGACCACCTGAGGTGAGGAGTTTAAGACCAACCTGGCCAACACAGTGAAACCCCGTCTTTACTAAAAATACAAAAATTAGCCGGGCATGGTGGCACATGCCTGTAGTCCCAGCCACTTGGGAGGCTGAGGCAAAAGAACCACTTGAACCAGGGAGGGGGACATTACAGTGAGCCAAGATCGCCACTGCACTTCAGCCAAGACTTTCGGTGTGCTAATACCTGTGTGTTTACATATGAATGCACCTACTTTATTATAAATTATTTTTATTTCTTCTTTATATTCCATTTACTGTATCATATTGATTTTTCCAAATGTATAAGTAAATTAAAGTATCTTTGAATTTACTTCTGTATAGTAAAAAAGGCATTATAAAATATTGGTCATAGGTCACAGAAGGTTGAGAATATTGGTCAAAGTTCTCCATTAGACAGTAAGTTCCTTAAGGACACAGGTTAGGTCTTACATTTATCTATCTTTCCCTTGGTACCTGCTATAGCAGTTTCAACAAATAAAAAATATTTTTTTATTTTAGAAAAATCATACCATTAGCAAAATTATCTGAGCTCTCATTTTCTGGGACAAAGAAAACTATTTAATAAACTACAGGAACTCTTCTCTTCATGGCCTGAAAAAAGTTATAGTTTCTCTATGATTTACTGCATCATTACAATGAGATGATTTAACAAACTGAGCTTTCTTTAACGTAAGTAAATAAGGTTACAAATTACCTAACACAGCATAGCTTTTTTAAAATTCTGAAATCCTTAAGGATAAAAAGGAGATGTTTAAGTATTTCTGTCACCCTTGTCCCCTTCCAGCATCTTTTACTTAATGAACTACACCATCATGTAACCAATTTTAAAACCCCAAAATCTAGGTCATTGTTGACAACTTCCTCACTATCCTATCCAATCAACCAAAAATCAAGTCTTGCCAATTTTACTTCCTAATCATGGGAAAATTTTCTAATAGGAAAACTCTGTCTCTACCACTGACACCCTGGTCCAAGTTACCATCATCTCTGCTTGTACTACTGTAAGAGCCTCATGACTAATCTATAAGACCTCCAAATTCATTCTCCTCCAATTAATCCTCCTAATCACACTTTGAAGTTGCTATCATACATTTTGGAGATGAAAAAAACTGAAATAAAGAAACTAAGAAAATTTCAAATTTACACAGCTAGATAAGGGCAAAGCTACAAATTACTACAAAATAAAGGTGAAAATAACAGACTACCAGGTTTGTTAATAACAGACTACCAGGTATTAATACCTAAAACAAAATAAAGGCGAAAATAACAGACTACCAGGTTTGTTTACTCTAGTGCTCCTTATACTTTTCACCACGTGGTACCCCCATCCTAAATTATATTACCCCAGGACTACTGTTCTGAATATTAATCATTCTTCTTATTATGGTTTAGTAAATGGAGTCAGAGACATAGGAGACTTAATTACATAAGTACTTACAGATACTTTAGGATACTTTGGAAGTCTCTGACATCCTCTTATTACCCTATGCCTCTTTAATCTTAACAGTCTTCTGGCTGAAGGTTATTAGTTGCTATTGTTTGCTAATAATGATAATTCCAAGAATATTTCAGGATCTATTTTTGAAAAGTCTTGAAATAAATCAGCAATTTTTCCTCTTATTACGTTGCTTGGTTTAAGCAAGATACTAAGCTATACATAAATGTTAACCGAATAAATGAAGCTATTATGAATGATAAAAAGGTTGGCCTCACTACTGGGGCAATACGTAATAAGGATAATCAACACAAAAATATAAGGGAACCAAATGCTGTCTTGTCTACGATTAAGAAGAGATAACACTAAACAGAGAAAACAGAAAGTCCACAAATAATTCACAATTGGTGACATAATGATGCAGGTCAACTGACTTAGAAAACTGCAATTCCTGCATTATAAACAGCATAGGCACCGTGAGAGTTGCTAGGAGACCATTTCATTTATCTAGCCTTCCTCAGAGGAATGAAAGAAGGAACAGTATGAAACTTAAGGTGAGCCCCAGTGAATTCTGCTTTACTTCCAGAGGAACAGCTTGCCCTCTGTCATCTTTTTACATGGTCCAAAAGCACAAAAACATGATGAGTTTTAAAGTACTAAACCTGGCACATTTATCTCAATAGCTGACAGGTAATTTGTTTTTTAATGGCAACACTGATAAAATATAACAGAGTATCTCTGCTTTGTTTCTCATTTACTAGGGAAAATAACCTAAATCCTAGCTATAACTGCTTTTGCAATGGCGTTATTTGGAAGAACAATTCCAAACACTTAAAAAATCATTAGAGAAAAAGAGGCAATCACAATAAATTTTTATTCATAAACTCATACCAAGTGAGTAACAATATGATACACAATTTCCAATCTTCTTAGCCCAAAGAAATGTACTGAGAATTAAAATGGCTGGTAATATCAGATAAGAGATTTGTTTTAAAATTCTGCCTTCACAGAAACTTTCCCTAAATCCTAGAAAGGAGGCCTATATTAGATGAACTTCGTACCGTAAGGTTTTTCTTCTGTTACTTTCCCCGTAGAATCGAGTGTATCAGTAGCTTTCCCCAGTTCTCCAATGGCAATGTATCTCTAGAAGAAGGGAAACAGGGAGAAAATGGGCCATGAGGCAAAGAAAAGCTGTTATGCATGTCTTTATACAGAATTTCACTAATACTACCAGCCTAATACAAAATAAAGGCGAAAATAACAGATGCAACTTTTTTTTTTTTAATGTGTGGGAAGCAATTGTGTATACTGAAGAACATTCATAAACGTCTCACCGTAGCCAATATGAGAAAGAAAAACTTGATTTTCTTGATAACTATGGTTTAATAATTATGAGAATTATTATTGTAAACAAATTTCTCAAACCACCTTTATACTGAGAAGTTTAAGAAAAATTTTCAAGTCTATCCATGAATAAAGAGAATGGTACAATATCCCTGACCCTGTGGCCATCATAAGATTCAATAATTTTCCCACACATACAATTAAAATTAATTTTAAATAAGGCAACTTAGTACTTCTTACATGAAATACTAAGACAAATCTTAGTAACTAGGTCATGCAATTAAACAAAAGCTAAATCTGTAGAAAAAGAGCAAAACTAGTATAGCAGTTAGTGCACTTAACTATTACATGTTTTTTTGTTTTGTTTTATTTTTTGTTTTTTTGAGACGGAGTCTATGCTGTTGCCCAGGCTAGAGTGCAGTGGTGCGATCTCAGCTCACTGCAACCTCCAACTCCCAGGTTCAAGCGATTCTCCTGCCTCAGTGTTTGGAGTAGCTGGGATTACAGGTGCCCACCACCACATCCGGCTAATTTTTTGTATTTTTAGTAGGGCCAGGGTTTCACCATGTTGGTCAGCCTGGTCTCAAACTTCTGACCTCAGGTGATCTACCCGCCTCAGCCTCCCAAAGTGCTGGGATTACAGGCGTGAGTCACCATACCCGGCCATGTATTTTCTTAATAAAGATAAATTACTATTTAAGATCTCAGGAACAAGAATCATTTCTAAGAATTTATCTTTATTCACAACTGAAGAATAAGATCATTCTTAGTTAAGTGAGGACTGTCTTATTTCTCATCTTAGGACACACTTGTAGTACATATTCTTTTCACTACTCTCTTTTGGTCAAATGCAATTTTTATTTGGGTCATCACATGAAGTAGTGAAAAAAATTGTAAGAACTATCTTTCCCACTGAATATAATCTGTATTTATGTGAAAGCTTTTATAAAAGAAAGCTCAAAGTACTTCGCAGAAATATAAGATTAATGACAAACTTATTATGCTAGTGAAGGGACCCAAGACAAAAATGAGAAAAATATTAAAACTTCAAAATCTCAAAAACCTGCAGACATTTTATAACAGCTTAAGGGCCTTTGATGAAATCACCTTAATATTATATAGCTCAGATACAGGAGGAAATATTCCACTGGCATTTGAATTAATTTTTTAAAAGTTTCATAGGTATCGACAAAAATTAGTTTTTTATAACTAACCATAGTCTCATCACACGAGACACCCACTCCTGCCTCTCTATTTTGAGACGAACCTTGATGAAGCATACCACAGGGAGAAGTACAACAATGGTAACAGCACAGGCTCAGAGTCAACTGGCTGGGTGTGAATTCTGACTCTACCACAGCTGATGAAGCAGATCAAGTTAGTCTTTCCTGCTGGAGCTTAATTTCCTATATTAAAATGTGGAAAATAATAATGCCTCATAAGAAGCAAACGTTTACAGCAACAATATCTAGCCCTGGTAAATAACAATATTACCATCATTTTTATTTTCTAAGAAAGAAGATATAGGATGATTCACAGAGTAACAGTGGTTAGAGTGACTCATCTGGTTACAATGAGCTCCCATAAGGAAAGCAAAGCATCAAAATGCTTTATGATTTTTTTACCTTTAGAGTCTGTTTAGTTGCATAAGAAAACCACAGTGTAATCTTGCATATTGCGCCTTGAATGCAGTATCTGCACTATCTTGCTCTTCCTCAGCAAGTCTGAACTAGGAACCTTAACATGTTTCCCAAGTATGCAATGCCCATTCTAGTCTCTGGACTCTTGATGTCCTGTGCACCTGGGCACGTCACTTCCCTGGCCTTGAACTCCCTCTCGTCTGTAAGGATCAAACCTTATTCATCTTTCAAAGCCACCCTTTAATTAATCCCAACTTCCAATTACCCACCTTCACAGCATGACTAAGAGTAGGTGCTTGATACAAATTCCATGCACAAAAAGAAGGAAGGCCTATATCAAATCCACAAATTCAATCATGCTTCTTAAGGACTATGAATCTCCAAAGTATTCTCCTAAGTGCTAGGGAAGGATACTATAGGTAAGATAGAGTCTTCTCCCTCTAAGAGGTTACAGTGTAACAGGAAGACTTCAGTAAAGACAACTACTGCAGAGGGGACTGTGTATAATGGCAACAACAGACATGTCTAGTTTATCTCACTGAGCTCTCATATCACACTGCTTAGCACAAGATGACCTATAGAGATATTCACTGTTTTCCAAGTATATTTTATTGATCCTTACTTTCTCCAAGTATGAACTCTTAGCTAGAATTTCCCTTTGCTGTTCTATTGTATTCTCTACTAGACAGAAACAGTGGCATCTTAATAAAAAGTAGCTGACAGAATTATACACATGCTAGAGAAGTGCCTATATGTGCAATTCTTCACATTTCACCATAGTTTTGTTCATCTAGATTTTATCTGCTAAGTCTCAACCAGGGTCTGCAATTGTGCTGGATTCTTTTTAGGAAAGACAATATCGAAATCAACATTCTCAAATCAAATCAAGATGTTCTCAAACATTCTGTTTTCAGAACCCCTACATACACTTAAAACTTACTGAGAAACCCTGGCATACATTTTTTAAAACAGGTTATATCTGCCTAGATTTACTGTATTAGAAATTAAAGCTGAAAAATGCTTAAAACTTCCATTAGCCATCAGAGCAATGAGGTCATTGCACATCTAGTAACCTCTGAAAAACTCTACTGTGTATTTGTGGGATTGCCAATTAAAAAAGGAAAACTGAAAATAGTTTCAATTTCAACAGACTCCCTGAAAGAACCTCAGGAGTCCTTAGACCACACCCTGTGAACTGATGATTGAAATCATAGCTGTTTCCTAGCTTTCCCTTGTCCTGGCATCTAATAATAATTATCCCTCAATTTTATTCAATTATCCACAAACCACTTAGAAAAATTCAACCACACAGTTAGCCTCCAGCTGAAACAAAGCCTCACCACCAGAAAGATACTGACAAAGAAGAAAAAAGACATGGAGATGTATACATTCAACCCTAACATTTTATCTTACGGGGTCTAAAATAATTCTTTTCACTGGCTTAAATTCTACATAGAGTCTGTGCTTCGGAGTTGTTAATTCTCCAAGATGTATACCTGGGAATTGTGAGTTCTACTGCTATATTCATTACAGTGTAATTCCAGTACAACAAAGGAGAGGTCCTGAAGAACATCCCACTGACCTGTGTACTCTCTGGGACGCATGGTTTCTCACTGATATTATTTTACTCTCTACTTTACTTATCTTCAAGCTCCCTGAACCCCACAGCAGATATTAGCTAGACATCTCTGGCAACAAATCAGCTTCTGTACTGTTTAGGAGAAAGAAAAATGTTTCTATTACAGAAAGTATACACAATCATTTCCTTGGATCTCAACTGAGGTGTGAGTTTGAAAGCTTGTGATTTAAAACTTCACACACACAAAAAAGAGGGATATTACTGAGGATGTAAAAGAACACTTTTTTAAAAAACTATCAAACAAAAAACATGTGGCTTTGAATGCATTCATTAAGAAGGAACAGTTCTGGCCAGGTGCGGTGGCTCATGTCTGTAATCCCGGCACTTTGGGAGGCCAAGGTGGGTGGATCACGAGGTCAGGAGTTCAAGACCAGACTGGTCAACAGGGTGAAACCCCTGTCTCTACTAAAAAACACAAAAATTAGCTAGACATGGTGGCTTGTACCTGTAATCCCAGGTACTTGGAAGGCTGAGGTAGGAGAATTGCTTGAACCAGGACCCAGGAGGCAGAGGTTGCAGTGAGCCGAGATCGCACCACTGCACTCCAGCCTGAGCTACAGAGCAAGACTCTATTTCAAAAAAAAAAAAAAAGAGAGAGAGAAGGAACAGCTCTTTATAGTTCCTAAGTATAAGCCCTCCAATTTTTCAATACAGTATTTATGAAATATATGAATATTAATAGAGTATACAGAAATGGTACAAACTGGATTAGCCTCTGGAGAAAACTGATTAGAAATGCTGAAATTTTAAACAGTTGGCTAAGTTTCATAGGAGCATTCAAGTCATGCTTTTGAGTTCGCATAACTGGTTAGCCAAAAATGTTACTGTGTCCTTGGGGAAAGTTACTGTCCTTTGACCACACCAAGGGTATACTTTATTCACTCCAATGATAACACTTGTTTAATTATTGGAGGGAGATACAAAGTTGCCTTCTGAGGAAATGCTGGCTTTGCCTGAAGGTGCCACTAAGGTTTACCTGCACAGAAATATGGAGGTACCTTTATATTTGGACATGCTAGTTAGATTCTTCGGGTTTTCATAACCTTTCCATCTGGTTTCTAAAGCAACCAACTTTGATCAACAATATAGAAAACTAATAAAGATAGCACTCCAGGCCGGGTGCGGTGGCTCATGACTGAGGCAGGCAGATCACCTGTGGTCAGGAGTTCGAGACCAGCCTTACCAACGTGGAGAAACCCCCGACTCTACTAAAAACACAAAATTATCCAGGCGTGGTGGCGCATGCCTGTAATCCCAGCTACTTGGGAGGCTGAGCCAGGAGAATTGCTTGAACCTGGGAAGTGGAGGTTGTGGTGAGCTGAGATGACGCCATTGCACTCCACCTTGGGCAACGAGCAAAACTGCATCTCAAAAAAAAAAAAAAAAAAAAAGATAGCACTCCAAAACCTCAATACCTCATCAAAATCTGTTCCTTCAAAGTACAGTATCTGCTATCCAGCTTTTGCTGAATGACTGCCTCAAAGAAAGTGTAATTTAGGGAAGACAGGAATGAGACTATTGCCCTCCTCTAGGTAAGCTACATTTTATACTTACATCAACTTAGGCCAAAGGAACACATCAGCCTAACCTCTCAGAATCATTTAACCTAAGCTGTATTTTATGTAGCTCCATTTCTGCATCTGTTGTAAAGCTATTTTTGAAAATCACTATCTATCTGTCATTTAATATCCATTATTATCAGAAACTTCTTCCTGACTTTAATGTCTAAGGAAAGTTTGTCTCTCCCTTAAAGAACTGGAATGCTTTCTTTTTCTGATGAGTGCAATATTTTGCCTACATCACCAGCAATCACAGATAATAATGAAAAAAAAATGAAGTTAACTGTATTCAAGAGTTCCAAGAGAACCTGCCTGAGTAAAATTAATTTCAGGTGTCTACAGAACATGTGGCTAGAAAGCTCCAACAGGCCTGGACCTCGAGAGAGAGATCTGGGGATAGATGAAATACTTGGGAATAGTAGTAACAGTATTTAATGAGCAATTTCTGTACACAAGGCACTGTACAAAAAGCTCACATGCTTTTCACACACATTATACACATAATCCTAAATGAGCAGGCAGTGGAAAATAAACAAAAAAAGACGATAAATATGATCATTGGCAGAACAAAGCTCACTCCAAGGCAGAAGAGGAAGACAATGAGGAATACAGGGTAGTGGCCCTTAACTCTTACTCTGATCTGAATGGGAGGAAATGCAAGAAATGATTTGGGTGGTCTGATTAGTGTCTAGTCTTCATAGATGGAAACAAAATAATATAATGGCCTAAAAATTTTATTTAAAACGCCAGTATTGGCTGGGCGCAGTGGCTCACGCCTGTAATCTCAGCACTCTGGGAGGCCGAGGGAGGTGAATCACGAGGTCAGGAGTTCAAGACCAGCCTGGCCAACATGGTGAAACCCCATCTCTACTAAAAATACAAAAAATTAGCTGGGCATGCTGGTGGGCACTGTAATCTCAGCTACTTGGGAGGCTGAGGCAGGAGAATCACTTGAACCCAAGAGGTGGTTGCAGTGAGCCAAGATTGTGCCACTGCACTCCAACCCAGGTGGCAGTGCAACACTCTCAAAAAAAAAAGGTCAGAATTTCACCTGGTAAGTGACAGTAGTTGTATGAAATAGCACTATGTTGAAAAAGATTCTAAGGATGTTTCTTGATTCAGCAAGAAGAAATGGCAGGCCATGTTCAATTAGCAATATCACCAATTAGGCCTGGCTAGGGAGAGAAGAGTGTACTGTAACATGGCTGTAACAAGAACACTGAATATCTGCCATCCTGGAACTATATATTTCTTCATGTAACTCCATCCTACACATAACAAAGTCTAATCTTTCTAGTTGCACTGTGATGCAAATAGAAATTCATCTGTCAAAAGAGGAAGTGAAGAAAAAGTGGACATTAGATCTGGGCCAAGTTAGGAGGTTGCAACCACCATTTTTTTTATTAAATGAAATAAAATACCAATGAAGGAAAAAATACCAAGAATACATCATATACAGGGTTAGAGTTGGATAAAGTTTGGATGTCTGTCCCCTCCAAATCTCATGTTGAAATGTAATCCCCAGTGTTGTAGGTGGGGCATAGTGGGAATTTTCCGGATTATGAGGGCGGATCCCTCATGAATGGCTTGGTGTCATCCCTGCAGTAATGAGTTCATGAGAGATTTGGCTGTTTAAAAGAGGCTGGCACTTCTGCCTCTCTCTCTCACTCCCTCTCTCACCATGTGACATGGCCACAACTGTAAGCTTCCTGAGGCCCTCACCAGAAGCAGATACCAGCACCATGTTTCTTATACAGACTAAAGAACCATGAGCCAAATAAACCTCTTTTCTTTACAAATTACCCAGCCTCAACTATTCCTTTACAGCAACACACACTGATAAAATGTTGCCTTTTCATAAATGTATGTGTCTACAGGGTCATGACATAAAATGAGTCTCTTACTATGGGTCTTTGTCAAAAAAATTTTGAAAGTCACTAGATAACAAGATCTCTAAGATTCCTTCTAGTGTTTTTTAAAAAAACTAACAAAAATATGTATTAACAGTTTAAACTACTTTTTATTTTAAAAAATCTTAAACATTAAACTCTTAATGATTCAGTTCTTTTAACATGTACATAAAATTAAAAGGATAAAAAATATAAATAGCTAACAAGACAATGATGCCTATCTTTGAAATATGAAATACCTAAGAACTAGGTTTCTATAACAAGATGCGCCTGCGGTATTCTATTTATGTTACAGTCACCTGAGGATCAGTCATTTCACGGTGAGACATTCAGGTTTCATAGCTGAACAGCAAAATGGGCTGTGACAAAATTTACACCAGAGTCAATGATCTATTTACATTTCAGTCATAATATTTCTGAAAATACATCTGGAATTTACAAGTAAAATCTTTCAATAATATGTAGCGTGCTGTGTTTGTGGTTTGGGGGAGGAGGGGCAAACAATGAATATCTCAGTGAACTCAACATATTTTATCTAGGGAAAAAAACCCCAAACAAATTCCTTAATGTAAACATATCTTTTTTACATTAACATAAAAGTGATTTGTTTATTGTAAAGATTTTGGAAAATACCAAATAATGTGAAAAAAATAAAAATCATCCATAATCCCATTTTAAAGTAAACACTGTTCTTTTAGTGTTCACAAATATTAAACAACTGCCAAAAACCAATATCAGAAACAAATTCTAAGCTCTGTGTGTCAGTATTTAAGCACAATGCACAAATTCACTGAGAAACTGTCAAACTCCTTCATTCTAATGCAATTTTTACACTCTGCAATTTTTCCAACACCAACATTTCAAAGTAATTTTTCAATACCAACATTTTGAAGATTACAGAGCAAGCCACATTGAAGTTTTTCATTTATCAGAGGCACTAAGATTCCTTCTAACTGAATGGCACAGATTTTTATGCCATGTCAGTTGATAAGCAAAATGGGATATCACATACAATACATTCTCCAGAGCTTTTTAAAATCAGTCAATCTACTTATCTATCTTTATCTATCTATCTACCTACCCATCTATCTTAATATCTATCTATCTACCTAACTACCTACCTATCTATCTTACTTGTTATTTATTTATTGAGATGGAGTGTCCCTCTATAACCCATGCTGGAGTGCAGTGGTATGATCTTGGCTCAGTGCAACCTTCATCTCCTGGGTTCAAGTGATTCTCCTGCCTCAGCCTCCAGAGCAGCTGGTATTAAAGGCATGCATCACCACGCCTGCCAATTTTTTGTGATTTTTAGTAGAGAAAGGTTTCACCATGTTGGCCAGGCTGGTCTTGAACTCCTGACCTCCAGTGAGCTGCCCGCCTCAGCCTTCCAAAGTGCTAGGATTACACGAATGAGCCACCACGCTCGGCCAGGGCTTTTATTTTAATAAAAGTTTACTTAAACCACTGCTATGTCAAGTGTTTTCCACAGGCCAGTATCTATAACGAGATTAAGTTCAGAAAAATGAGGTTGCGTAGAAACTTATTTAGCAATTTTACATTGCCACAACATTTTAATTATATTTTACAAAAGTCATCAATCAGTCTGCAATGAACTGGAAATTGTTTCAAATAGTCTTAGACTACGTATCTTTTTAAAGAAACAATTTAGACAAAATAATTTTATCAACGATTTATGTCACATTTAGAGCAAGAGTTTTAAAACAAAAAGGTTAGTCCAGGAACTTGATGAAATTTTTTATTACCTCTTGGCATATTAATCTTCCTTCCACGTGCATCTTCATTGGCGCTTAGTCCCAGCACTTATAACCAGCACCTAATTACTCATTAGGATACAGATATTATCTCTTTGAGAGATGGAAGAGACCTCTCCTACCAGCAGTTCACAGCTTTCCAGCCCTTCCTGCCTCCAAATAACCCCTTCTCTCTTCTATTAAGTGTCTGGAAAAGCGCTTTTGGATCAATTCAAGGGTATTCTCACAGATAAACATACTTTATCATCTTAAAGAGGCCCTACTCTTTTCTTTAATAAACATTTTATAACCATTGAACAAAGCGTGTTTTTGCTGAAAAGGGCATGGTTTACAAAATGGTATTGTTTCTATAAAAATTCCAAGGTTTAAAAAAATCTTCCACTAGAGTTTACGACCTCTGAGGCCGGATCATCTAAGAAATAAGGTATTTTAAAAGTCTAAACGTAATTTTGTTAAATGATGAATACTGTAGCATTATTTCTTTAAGTCTAATTGGTTTTTCAATTCAAAATTTCCAATTTTCAGTCTCAGTATTTTGAATCTCAGATATGTTAATAGACATGATTAATACTCAGGAATGATATTCATGCCGTTTACTCAGTTTGTTTATTTTTTATTTGATAAAAATCCAACACATGTAGGTCATTAACAAGATTAAAGAAAAATAGAACTATTCCAGTATTCTTACCTTGGACCCTGACAACATACTGGTCAGCATTTTTGTTCCCCTTCCAATTCCAACCACTACAAATCAAAGAAAGAAATATTATGACACTCTATTCTGAAAACTAGGTTTTAAAATAGCTACATATTTTGGTCATAATTTCCCAGCTTAGGTAATGTGAAGTTGGAATGAGCATACATTTTGCAAATTTTGAGGGTTCTTATTACTCCAAACAGTTGAACTCCTCACGCAACTAAGAGATTCTGAAGAAGGGATGAGAGAAGACCTTTCTCCCCATTCTCAAAGTATTAAACTCAGTGGAAACCTCAACCCAGCCAATTAGATAATGAAGCTTTACAACAATCTCAAAGGATGCACTGGAATTTTATACGGGCACCAGTGAAAAACACATGGCACAATTAACCATGTTCAAGTGGGTATGATGAGGTCTTTTGACAGAATTCATTATTAAACAAAGCAAAAGCCATTATCATAGCTAATGAACCATTTAAAGATGATTAGCACCCAGCAGTATACAATCAAGAAGAGAGAAACATAACAAATCATTCTAACACATAGAATACAAGGTAAAATAAAGGCTGAAGAATGTATTTTAACAGAGACCAAATACAAAAGTACACCAATGGCCGACCTTTCTCTTACATTTCAAACATTATTCATAGGACAACACATTTCACCAGGTGAGGGTGAGAGGATTTAGTCACTTCTCTTTTTGTAAGAAGGCAATTTTTTTAAGAATTGAAGCATCTGTCATCAACAGATACAACTGTGCATAAGAACACAATATAACCACCACAATTTAGAATTATAAGAGCAAATAAGGAGTACAGATTGGCAAACTGGAATAATTATCTTCAATATTTATGGCAAATATCATTCAGTGAGTTTACCAAGTATCAGATTCTACTCTACATGCTCTCCTTTATTATCCCATTTAATCCTTATAACAACTTTAAAAGGTAGTATAATTACCCCTATTGACATATGAGGGAACTGAGGAATACGAGACTAAGAACTTTGCCCAGCATCTCACAACCAGTACATGGTAGAGTTCAGATTATTCAAGCCAGTGGCCTAAGAGCAGACTCCCTTCCTTTCCATTCCCTCTGCCACCTTAACTCATCTAGGCTTTCTTCTCACTGCCAGCCTACATCACTGCAAATCTGACTGTTCTACATCCTATCCCTTCCTCTCTCAATTCATAACACTTCATAACCATTTCTGAAACCCTATTTTTCACATTACAAAGTCCCAAAACAATTCTTAGTAAGGTCCCAGTGCTTACAGCATTGAAGTCTAGCTCAAGCCCCAACTCATTCATAGTCTATTCCAACCTCCTGAAAACTTCTATGACACTCATCTGTCTTGATCCCTCTAAGTCATATAGTCCAAGGACTAAGATTAAAAAACAGTCTGCCCTCAGTAGCCTCTGGAGAGCACAATACTCTTCAAATGACAGAACTTTTAGCAGTAGATACTGCTGCTGATGAGGCAAACAGCAAAGATTCAATGCAATTTGATTCCATTCAAATAAATCCCCAATAAATATTTTTTTAATAACTGCTATGCACATAATCCCAAGAGGAATACTTCTAATGAAAAAACAAGCTTGTGACACATTTCCTAACTTTAAAAAAACTTATAATCTTATTGGGAAAATAAAACACAGAAAACAGAAATCACAGAGCTCAAGAAATGTTGCCTAATGAGTGAACAATGCTAAATTACAATATGATAGTATATGATTAAGTCTCAAAATGAACAGAGATAGAACAGCTGCCATAGCAGGGCAAAAGCGGAGCATTCTAAATGGCTAAAGAGGCCAGAGAATGCTTCACTCAAGCATTTCAGAGTTTGTGTTAGGACTTTGAAGAATATATAGGAACACAACAGAGAAGAGAAGCATGTTCTTAGAAAGAAAGAAATTGCACAAACTCTCAGATACAAGGATGAGAACAGTGGGTTTATAGACCAAACATAGTGTGTCTTAGAAGCAGGCTGAGATGTTTGACTTTAACATGGTTGAAATCCTGAACTCATCATGGTTTCTGAGCTAGTTTAGTGACCCAGAAGGATAAAATTTAAAAGAAGGCATCTTAGAGTTACCCAGCTTAATCCTCTCATTTTATACCTAAGAATAACCAACTGCCACTGAAGTTAGGTGATTAGTGAAAGCGGAATTTTAGAAAGACTAATATGGTGGTGGCATACAGAAAAATTTTCCAGCATTGGGACCTAGCCAACCAGCAGATTTTCATTCACAGGTTAGTTCCCTGGACAGAATTATTATTTAGCATTTTTCCCTTCAATCATTCAAAATTATATTCAGTACATATTGTGTAGGTACACAAATAAATAAGACCTGGCTTCCGCTGTGATTTAACAATCTAAGAGGGAGACAAATATCAACAAAAACTAAGAGGCCAAAATGAAGTTTTACATTAGCAGTATAGAAGAGCAAGCAGGCAAGCTTCAAAGGCAGGAAATGGCATTTCAGCTGAACCTGGAAAGGTCAGTAGGACTTCTGCAAAGAAAGGCACTTACAAAAGAAAAGTATGGGATAGGGAAAATGTGGTACATATACACCATGGAATATTACACAGCCATCAAAAACGATGAGTTCACGTCCTTTGTAGGGACATGGATAAACCTGGAAACCATCATTCTCAGCAAACTGACACAAGAGCAGAAAATCAAACACCGCATGTTCTCACTCATAGGCAGGTGTTGAACAATGAGAACACATGGACACAGGGAGGGGAGCACTACACACTGGGGTCCGTTGGGGGGAAATAGGGGAAGGAGGGGGGTGGGGAGGTGGGAAGAGATAGCATGGGGAGAAATGACAGATACAGGCGAGGGGATGGAAGGCAGAAAACCACACTGCCATGTGTGTACCTATGCAACAATCTTGTATGTTCTTCACATGTACCCCAAAACCTAAAATGCAATTAAAAAAATAAATATAAATATAAATAAATAAATAAAAGAAAAGTATGAGCAAAGGCACCACGTTTGAAAAGGTGTGGAAAATTCAAAGAATGGATAACAGGGTTTTCCATGCACAGTCTCACAATTACTACTCTGTCTCCCAAATTTTCTGTGCTCGCACAAATGTTTTCTCTGTTAAAAAACACACACACAAAAAAAAAAAAAATTCAGTATCTCCGAACTTAATCCAATGTCCTAGTATCCTATTCTCAAATCAAAAAGATAGAATTTGTTTATGAGGAGAGTCCCTCTAGGACAGGCATGGATTATATACATGTATTTCCAGCTTTCTGCAACTGGAAGTTTCTACTGCTATTTATCTAATTCGATTAACACCCCGTATGGTCATCTAACAAGACCTGTATCTTTCCAATTGTAGGAATCTATTTTAAGAATCCAAAACACCTGGCTGATACGGATGTATGGGTAAAAACTAAAAACTAAAAACTAAACAAACAAAAAGTTATATCTATAAAGATATCCCTCACAAAATCAGTATGACAAAACTCTGGTAATAGCCACAGTGACCTCAAATAGGGAAATGGTTAATAAATTGTATTTTAGCCATATGATAGAACATTTTATAGCCATTAAAAATAAGGTTTACAAACAATCAACATGAACCACGTTTATGTCACAATGTTAAGTTAAAGAAATGGATATATAAGTACATACAGTGAAGTAGAGCTCAACTTAAAAAATAATCTGCATAGATAGGCCAGGTATGGTGGCTCATACCTGTAATCCCAGCACTTTGAGAGGCAGAGGCGGGCAGATCACCTGAAGTCAAGAGTTCAAGACCAGCCTGACCAACATGGAGAAACACCATCTCTACTAATAATACAAAAATTAGCCAGACATGGTGGTGCATGCCTGTAATCCCAGCTACTCGGAGGCTGAGGCAGGAGAATCGCTTGAACCCAGGAGGCGGAGGTTGCAGTGAGCTAAGATTGTGCCATTGAACTCCAGCCTGGGCAACAAGAGCAAAATTCCGTCTCAAAAAAAAAAAAAAAAAAAAAAAACTGCATAGACAAAAAGTTACAAAGAAATATGGCAAAAATGTTAACTGATAAAAGGTGGAAAATGGCCATTTTTTATTTTCAACTTTCTTGTACTTTATCTAAATTTTCTCACTGTTTCTATAACCTCTAAAGTTAAAAAAATTTTGAAATGGTATATAGAAATTTTATTTACATTTTAAGTGATTTACGATCAATAGGTATATTCCTTTCCTATTGCTATTGTAACAAATTACCAATTGGGGCTTAAAACAATACAAACTTTTTATCATACAGTTGTGGAGGTCAGAAGTCTGAAACAGGTTTAACTAGGCTTAAAATCAAGCAGTTGGCTTGGCTATGTTCTTCTCTGGAGGTGCTAGGGGAGAATCCTTCACTATAGCCTTCCTAGGGAACCTTTTTTTTGCCTCCTTCAGCTTTTAGAGGCTGCTCCCATTCTTTGGCTTGTGATTTCCCTTCTCTCTTCAAAGCCAGCAATCACATCCCTCCAATCTCTGCTTTCATTGCCGTATCTCTGACTCTCTCTTCTGCCTCCTCTTCCACTTTTAAAGAGTCTTATGATTACATTGGGTCCACTTGGAAATTTCAGGATAATCTATCTTAAAGTCAGCTGATTAGCAACATCAATTCCATCTACAACCCTAATGCTCTTTATGATGTAACCTAACATATTCACGGGTTATGGAAATTAGGACATGGACACTTTTAGCAGGTGATTATTTTGCCTACCACAGTATTTCTGAGAAACCTGTGAACTCTCTAGCAATTATGCTATAGAATTATAAGCCTGAATTTCAGGTTATAATCTTAAATTGTCAGCTAAATTCTTACTCTGCACCACTAATATTGCAAAAAAAAAAAAAAAAACAGTCTAAAATGTTGAAAGTAAAAGGATATTTTTTTCACACAGGTCCAGTTTTATTTATTTTTAAAAAGGACCTTTGGCTGGGCATGTTGGCTCACCACTGTAATCCCCGCACTTTGGGAGGCCAAGGCAGGCAGATCACTTGAGATCAGGGGTTCAAGACCACCCTGGCCAACATGGTAAAATCCCGACTCTATTAAAAATACAAAAATTAGCCAGGCATGGTGACAGTCACCTATAATCCCAGCTACTCAGGAGGCTGAAGCAGGAGAGTCACTTGAATTCAGGAGGTGGAGGTTGCAGTAAGCCAAGATCATACCACTGCACTCCAGACTGGGTGACAGAGCAAGACTCCATCTCAAATAAATAAATAAATAAAAATAAAAAAGACCTGTATACAGTACTTCACAGAATAAAGTACACATCTATATACTATAGGTATTCTGTAAGATATTTTTAAAAACCTTTTGACCTGGCCAAGCACAGTGGCTCATGCCCCCAGCACTTTGGGAGGCCTAGACGGGCAGGTCATGAGGTCAGGAGTTCAAGACCAGCCTGACCAACATGGTGAAACCCCGTCTCTAGTAAAATTACAAAAATTAGCCAGGCATGGTGACGCATGCCTGTAATCCCAGCTACTCGGAAGCCTGAGGCAGGAGAATCACTTAAACCCAGGAGGCAGACGTTGCAGTGAGCCAAGATCACGCCACTGCACTCCAGCCTGGGCCACAGAGAGTGACTGCATTCCAAAAAATAAATAAATAAATAAATAAATAACCTTTTGACTCAATTTTGGTAGACATTATCCTCTTTTAAAACATGAAAAAATATTCAGGGAGGTTATGGGATTTTCTTAGGATGTGTATAGTTAGTAACTGAAGAAGCCAGTAGCCGGTATACAAACCCAAATATGATTAGAGTCTAGTGTTTATTTTACCACACAATCAAAAATCAACTTCTCATAAGTTTCCAGAACTGCTAACTTGGATAACAAACATCCCTTACTCTGTGACTGAACACCTATAATTTTTTTTCTAATAGAGATGGAGTTTCACCATGTTGGACAGGCTGGTCTTGAACTCCTGACCTCAGGTGATCTGACCACCTTGGCCTCCCAAAGTGCTGGGATTACAGGCGTTAGCCACCATGCCTGGCCAACACCTATAATTTTTTAAACTTTATCTCTCCTTGGAAATCACATGTGTTGGAAGAAAAATTAATACATCTGACATATGAACATGTTATATCATCATATAAGTCCCTGTAAGATCAAATATAAAATTAAGCCTCCAACCTTAATTTACATACAAATTTCAGCTCCTTCATAATACTAAAATGGAAGCTTCAACAAGATCCCTTCAGTCAAGGGTGTCCAATCTTTGGGTTTTCCTGGGCCACAATGAAAGAACTGTCTTGAGCCATACATATAATACACTAACGATGGCTGATGAGCTTAAAAAAAGAAATCACACATAAAAAAATCTCAGGATGTTTTAAGAAAGTTTACGAATTTGTGTTGGGCTGCACTAAAAGCTGTCCTGGGCCACATGCAGCCCACAGGTCAAAGACTGGACAAGCTTGCCATAGGTTCAGGGTAAAAAATAAACTATTTCATTCACTGCCCTGAATATTACTATTTTCTGCATGCCAATGAAGAACCACCACTAGAAATTACCAGAATTGATCTATTCATAAACAAGCAACAGATCTTATCCTCTCTTTTCTTGTATTTGTGGTGCTATGCCTGGAAAACAGTAAAGCAAGTGGTTTGAAGCATAGGCTTCAACTCAAGGACCAACTCTAATCACTGGTACAGGCTACTGAAGTTCTACGCTGGTAAGAATCATAAAGCCCTAATTTCTGCCAAGAGCACAGGGCATGAGGAACAAAAGCAGGAGCGCCAGGTATCTACCATCCACAGGGGCAGATGCTTTGGAACTGGGCAGATCTGGGCTCAAATCCTGACTCTGTCACTAACTCTATGACAGTGAACATGTTACTTTATCTCTCAGGGTCTTCATTTCTTCTTCTGTAAAATGGGGATAATAATAACCTCTTACAGATTACAATGAGAATTAAACTATATAACTTATGAATGCCCAAAACTGAAGATCTTATGTACAGTAAGTACTCAATAAATTCTTTTTATCATTAGCTGGGGTTTTTGTTTTGTTTTGCTTGTTTGTTTTCTGGAGTGCAGTGGTGCAATCACAGATCGCTGCAGCCTCAACTTCCCAGCCTCCCAAGTAGCTGGGACTATAGGTATATGCCACCACACCCAACTAATTTTAAAATTTTTTATAGAGATGGGGTTTCACCACATTGCCTAAGCTGGTCTTAGGCTCCCAGGCTCAAGCAGTCTACCCACCTCAGCCTCCCAAAGTACTGGGATTACAGGTGGGAGTCACTGTGCCCAGCCTCATTTTTTTTCTATTGTACTGTACTGTATTGTACTGTACTATACTGTATTTTATTGTATTTATTTTTTGAGATGGAGTTTCACTCTTGTCGCTCAGGCTGGAGTGCAATGGTGTGACCTCAGCTCACTGCAACCTCCACCTCCCGGGTTCATGTGATTCTCCTGCCTCAGCCTCCTGAGTAGCTGGCATTACAGGCACGCACAACCACACCTGGCTAATTTCTGTATTTTTAGTAGAGATGGGGTTTCACTATGTTGGCCAGGTTGGTCTTGAACTATTTGTTCTATTCTAACCTCAAGTAAAAATATGTTTGCTAACATAAACTAAATCTATAATTTTAGAAAATAAAAAATTATATACAGTTTCTAACGTTCTTTAAGCATACCATTTTCTTGACCAATTTTATCCTTTTCTTTTAAATAAGCACTTATCTACTTTGGATAGCTTAGATCAAGGTTTGCTGTTGTTTGTACTAATTTTTGCTCTAAATAAAACTGAATAAAATATAAAATACCAGAGCATGGAAAAAGATAAGTATTGTTCCATAAAAGTTTGTTTTTCGTATGTGGGGAAGTGGGCACAGAGAGGGATCCCAATGTATGTAGCTAGTTCTGTAACTAAGGATGCAGTTACAGAGTAAAATATATCCTAGCCTATGTATACACACTTTAGCAGTCCATTAAGTTGGACTTTAGAATCTCTACCAGGTGCAAAAACAACAACAACAACAAAAAGATGGAATAAAAAAGGATAAAAGACATTTTTCCCTTTGATCAATTCTACCATTTTCCTTCACAAGCAATAAAATGGTCAACTAATACATCTCCAGCAGAAAATGACTTCCTCTCAAGAACTATAAGCTTCCCCTTCTCAAGACAGTTATCTCAGAGATTAGACTAGAGATAAGCAGACAAACAGAACCTTATACCTTGTTGGGAGTCCCCAAGACCAGCCCACATTCAAAGATTGATGTATACCTCAGATTGATTACAGTGATGTAGTAAGAATACTCAGCTGAACCTCAAGAGGAAAACACACAGAGCAATCTGGGCACAAGCTTCCTTATTCTCTCCCCCTCCTATGAGGGGACACTCAAGCATGCTACTTTTTCCAGCAACAAAAAAAGCAGTAACACCTGTGCAATGCTTCTCTCAGGGAAGCTCATTAGAAACTCAGTGCCCAACGTTTTTATTGGGGACTTGAGAGGATAATCACTCAGGCACCCTCTCTGTCTTAGCAGTGGGACAAAATTCCAGATTCCTAGAAGGAAAGATGGTAATCTCAGATACATCTGAGGCACAGCCAACCAGTCTTATCACACAGTGAAAGGTGGGAACACTCCCAAATTCCAAGTTCCCAGACACCAGCCGAGGGAAAGGTGTATAAGCAGGCCTTTCTAAAGATAGCCATTTCAGGTCTGCTATGTTAACTCTTTTCTGCACAGATACAAACTTTTCAAAGTCCTGTCCACACATAAAGGTAGCTATTTCTAACGGCCTTTAAGACCTTGTACCATTTAAGGGCTTCTTTAGAAGATGGCACTATATATATCCAGTAGATCTGAAACATTCCAAAATAGACCAAAAAATAGAAAGCTTTAGTCAATCTCATCTGTTCTCAACCAGTGTTTCTTTCTAATATTAAGAGACAGTGGAAATTTCACTTTTTTATCTCTTACCCAGAACTCCTCGGGCTGCACTGTCTAGAGTCCCTCCATGCCCAATTTTCAAAGTCTGCTTCTTCCTCTTGCTCCATTCTGGAGAAGGCATTCCAGCTTCTACAAGAGTAATGGGGATGAAAAGGAAGGTGATTACCAAGACAAATGAAGTAGGATCTCCATAAACTTGGGAGGAAGAAGAGATGGCATTTTCAAAACATTTTATTGCCATTTCAATAAAGGCAATAAAAAGTACTGTACAAACTTTACATGTTAAGAGACTATGACCTCATTACTAACAAAGAAAAGATTTTAAAATGGACATTCCCTAAATTATAAAGAAACAGTATTCTAAAATTAGCTATCTGTATACTAGAAATAATTCTCCAAGAAAAAAAAAAAACAGCATTTTTAAAAGGTGGGTAAATATCCAGGCTAACTCGCAAAAATCTAGGAAATTCTTGGTAGTGGTGGGCTGATAAGAGAATCATGAAATAAAGTTAATCTTGATTTAGAAAGATACTTTTAAAAGTCCTCAATGTGGCTGGGTGCGGTGGCTCACAGCTGTAATCCCAGCACTTTGGGAGGCCAAGGTGGGCAGATCACAAGGTCAGGAGTTTGAGACCAGCCTGGCCAATATAGTGAAACCCCATCTCTACCAAAAATACAAAAATTAGCTGGGTATAATGGCACATGCCTATAATCTCAGCTACTCAGGAGGCTGAGACAGGAGAATCACATGAACCTGGGAGGCAGAAGTTGTGGTGAGCCAAGTTCATGCCACTATACTCTAGCCTGGGTAACAGAGCGAGACTCTGTCTCAAAAAATAAACAAATAAATAATAAAAATTTCCATTTCCAGTTCTAAATCTCTTCCATGGTCTTCCCTGGTATCTCCAGCTACCTAACATTGGGAGTATAACTCATGTAGGGCTACTTCTAAATACACCAAATTCCCAAACTTCCTGTATTCGTGGTCTCCCTCTCTTAATCAAAACTTGCAATTCATTAAAGAAGCGAATCTCAACAAAACATTATGTAGAAGGCAGGTAAGATTAAGTTGCACCTTAACTTCTTAAGCATTCAGATTTTTTTTTCCTTTCTTTTTTTGAGACAAAGTCTCACTCTGTCGCCCAGGCTGGAGTACAGTGGCATGATCTCAGCTCACTGCAATCTCTGCCTCCTGGGTTCAAGTGATTCTCCCGCCTCCGCCTTCCAAGTAGTTGGGATTACAGGTGCCCACCATCATGTCTGGCTAATTTTTGTGTTTCTAGTACAGACGGAGTTTCACCATGTTGGCCAGGCTGATCTCAAACTCCTGACCTCAGGTGATCCAAGCATTTAGATTTTAAAAAGAGGATGCCAGCCTGGCATCTCATATTCCTGTTGTAAATATAAAGTGAGCCAGGTACAGTGGCTCATGCCTGTAATCCCAGCACTTTGTGAGGCCAAGACAGGAGGATCACCTGAACCGATAAGTTCAAGATCAGCCTGGGCAACACAGGGAAACCCCGTGTCTACTCAAAATAAAATTTAAAAAATTATCTGGGCATGGTGGTGTGCACCTATAGTCCTATATACTTGGGAGGCTTAGGAAAGAGGACTGCTTGAGCTTGGGAGGCAGAGATTACAGTTAAGTCAAGACTGTGCCACTGTATTCTAACCTGGGCAACAGAGCAAGATCCTGTCTCAAAAAAAAAAAAGTAAAACAGTGTTATTTGAAAGTACTTTGGGGGTACGGAGCCAGTGTTTCCTTCTAGATAAATATAAGTTGATAATGGCATACAACATATTGAGAGAGTACTGGCTATTAGACATCAAGTGAGAAAGAAGAGAAAAGCAGGAAAAGCTATATTGATCTATACCTGCCCCCAAACCTGTCAAACCTTCATTATCACCACTGACACCGAGCAGAAAGAAAATAAAGAAAATAAAACGAGTGGACAGAAAAGGGAAGAGGAGAAAGCAAAGCAAGAGTGGAAATGCAGAAGCCAGTTTAAATGGCCAAAAGGTTATGTTGGGTGGCTTGGCCTCCCAGCAAAATTACCACTCTAGTGGGTCACAACCATGGTCTCTGGAATACCCTGGCATCATTCTCTAATTATGGCATCATCACATTTAGATGGGTATGGCTGTCTGCATTGACAAAAAATTCTAAGGCCAGACCTAGGTTTCAAATCCTTGACCTGTCACTTGCAACCCATCAGCGATCTCTCACCCATAAATTAACAGAAACCTTCTGGGGAACTCTTTGCATTTTCAACTTCTCTTTCGAGTAAGAAGGCCCCATAAATATACTATCTTCCCTTTGTGCCCAAATATACCTCCTTCTTATGTGCAGACATACTGCCTCTATAGAGTGAAGAATTTAGTTCACCCCACTGAACTAAGTATTTGTGGATAAATATTTATTAAAGTATTTTCTAGCTATAAAATTGTGGTACACTTAGGGCTTTGAAGGATAACAAAGAGTAGGGATTGTAGTATAACAGGAATCAATGTAAGGAAAGACAAGGAATGGTATTAGAGGCCACAACCATTGTCTGTAGGTGTTAAACACATTAGAATGCAGGTATCTTTAAGAACCTTCCCAAGTAATTCTGACAGCCAGTTAAAATGGCATTTGGGAAACTCTAACCTAGCTAACATAAATAAAGAATAGGTCAATCACACACAAGCAATATAGAAATCAAGGATCATGAGAATGTCTCTAGCTAAAAGTTCTAGCCTAGCAACAGCCTTGAAACAATCATTTTAACCAAGATTCCACAAGAAACTTCAGTTCTTAGAGGCAGATTAACCAGAAGGCCAGAATATGGCATTGTCAGAAACTCGTCTTAAAGAATGGTAATCATTACCTTAAGGATTAAAAAAAAAAGTAACAACCCAGAGTTTTGCTAACACATCAGGAAAGGTGAAGTTCTATAAAGGAAAACATAAAAAAAAAAAAAAACTATGATGACACCATAATGCATATCCTTGATGCAATTCCTCACTTTGACATTTACTCATTCCTCTGTGTGACCCCTCTTTTCAGGCAAAAAAGTAAACTTTAACAAAAGAATGAGTAGTCGTGATACTGGAATTAAACACCTGTAGGAGTGTACCTATTAGCCCAAAAACATTTAAATCTGTACTGTCAGTTATAATTCCCATAAGAGTAATTTGTTTTTGCATTTTAAGTGTAAAGTTTTCCATGGGACACTAAACAATGTGAGAAAGTCCCTGTACTTGTTTAATGGCAAGACAGAACAGGGCCAAATTCTGGAGGGCCCAGCTAACTAGTTTTATCACCACACGGTGCAGAAAGTAGGCTATAAGCTCGGCAAAGGTAAGAGACAGTCTCTTTCATCTTTAAGTCTCTATAGGCTAGCACAGATCTGGCTTATGTGGATATCCAATGATGCTTTATGTGTGAAATGATCTACGGAGCTGATGAATGGGGTGATTCTTTGGGCTTTTCTATTAATTTCCCAGCGTACATGAATAAACAAATCAATAAAAAGAACACTCAGCTTAGTGACCAAGTTATACTGAGTGTTCCTTAAATGTGGCCCATAAGCTACTTACACTAGAATCACCTGGAGTAACTGTTAAGAATTGCGTTTTCCTAAAAATACCCCGAACTCTCGGAATCGCAGTCTCTGAGAGGACAGGGATTAGGAATCTGTATTTGTACAAGAGAGTCTAAGCAATTGTTAGGCCCACTAAAGTGTGAAAAACCACTATGTTAGGTCTTGGTTAACGAAGTGTATATGCATTTCCCATGTATTTTGAAGAATGCAGAGCCAGTGCTTCCTTTTGGGATTCATCCACACGAACCCAACAAAAGCCTCCTGAAGGATCAGATTACAGAAAATAGGTCTGCACGCCCTAGGGAAGGGTTTTATTGATGTTTTTTTTTTTCCTCCTGTTGAGAACTACAACTGCCATGTAGGCTACAAGTGTTCGTGCCACCGCCAAGTCCAAGCCCGAGACGCCCGAGATTTCTTTGAATTAGTCCAGAGCTAATTCAATGGTCATTCTCCCTTTCCCTTCCTTTTGTCTCCTGAGTCACGAGCGTCGCAAAAAGCCTAGTGTGCTTCCCCTTTCGCGGCGACCGCCTCAGCCTGGTCCCCACCCGGGCTGCAGTACCTGCCAGCAGCTTCTCCTTCAACCGATTCAGCAGCTCGGCTGAAGTGGGCCCTTTGGGCTTGTGTACGGCGAACACGCCGCTCAGGGACAGCAGCTTTGTAGCCAAAGCGGCCTTGGAGACCCTGGCTTCGGATCCTGTCCTGGCCGCGGCCGCAACAGCCGCGGCTGCAGCTGTGACTGGCGGAGTCGCAGCCATTGCTGCAACCGTTCCTGCAGTTTCAAGGACAGGGGATGTGTCTGTTTTCAAAGACGACGAAGACACCACCGACGGCACCTCAGAAGCTGCCATACGTTCGTAGCCCAGACCTAGTTCGTCGCGGAGGCGCACGCTGATGATGCAACAAGAATGCGCCGAGCAGGCTCCTCTTCCTCGTACCGCAAGCTGCGCTGAACGAGAGAGTCGCAATGGCTTGTGGAAATTGTAGTCCATGGCCTTCCCATACAGGCAAGAGCTTGCTGTGCCCTTGTATTTTAAATAGAAAATTTTAAATATTGACTTTTCCTGGGGCTTGTGAAGATCCATGGCTTCCTGGGCTCACTGCTTAATTGACTGTATTGTGCTCTTGAATTCAGACTCAGAATTAACATACATCCAAATGTGAGCTCTATTAGAGCAAAGAACTTACCACATTCACTCACATCCCAAATGCCTCACACGTTTTAGGCACTTAAATAAATATTTGAAAACGTATAAATAAATACGAATTATTCAAATTCCTCGAAGAAACTTCTAGGCCAAGCCAATGGTAAATCACTTGGGCTTAGTTGGATACTCTTCATGTACTCCTTTTCACCCCTAAACCCCAACTGCCCCCACTACAATTTTTTTTTTTTTTTTTTGAGACGGAGTTTCGCTCTTGTTAACCCAGGCTGGAGTGCAATGGCACGATCTCGGCTCACCGCAACCTCCGCCTCCTGGGTTCAGGCAATTCTCCTGCCTCAGCCTCCTGAGTAGCTGGGATTACAGGCACGCACCACCACGCCCAGCTGATTTTTTGTATTTTTAGTAGAGACGGGGTTTCACCATGTTGACCAGGCTGGTCTCGATCTCTTGACCTCGTGATCCACCCGCCTCGGCCTCCCAAAGTGCTGGGATTACAGGCTTGAGCCACCGCGCCCGGCCTACAATTTTTAATAATTCTGATTTTGAATATCAGCTCTTCTGTGGGTTACATTCCCTAGATATCAAAAGGCATTCTTGCAATTCATCAAATATAAACTACTTTCCCTTTGAGACCTTCTCTCTAAAAGTCATTTGCTCCCCAAAAAGATCAAGGATATTGTTTTGATCCCAGCTCAAGGCAGAGTGGAGAAAAATTACTTCTGCACCAAGCACATGAAATGCTATCATAAGTACTGTGACACAGATGAAGTTTGCCCTCATTGTTCTTTAGGTTTCTTTACAGCCACTCTTTCTCCTCATCATACTCTTGGACTTTAATTAATCTAATATTTTGATGATGCCCTTAGCTGCTCAGAATCACCAGTTATGGGATCCCATTTGAATTTGTGCTCATTCATGCAACAAACACATGGCAGAACAACTTATTAAAAGGAAAAAAAAAAATCTTTGAGGGAGTATTTTCAGGGTGGAAAGCTGAAACTCCTAGAAGAAAGTCACCTACTCTTGGGGTCTGTTACAAAAGCCTAAACTAACTGAAAAGATTGGCATATCACAAGATTAGTGGACACCTGACCCTGCTTCAAGATGTTCATTTTTCCAGGCAGATGAGGAAGATGTCATGACTTCAAAGGGATGACTGCACCCAAAGGAGTATGGTGTCCTTTAGCCTCAGGAAAGAGTTCTGTGTTCCTGTGGCATGGAAGCAGAGAGCCAGGGACTTGCCGGGAAGATTGCAAGGCTTGACCAATGATGACTTGGAGATTAGAGGCTTTTTCCCAATTGTCTGGAGATCAGTAAGCCTCCTATTTTCTTTATAAATTACCCAGTCTCAGATATTCCTTTATAGTAACACAGACAAACTAATACATCCACATATTTTACTTATTTTGTTTAATGTCTGATGCCCTTTATCAGAATATCAGTTTCATGAGAACAGGAATGTTTTATTCATTGCTGTATCTCCAGGGCCTAGAAAAATGTCAGGTATAGCACTCAACAATATTGGGTTGATTTGTTTTGTTTTGTTGAGATGGAGTTTTGTTTTAGTTGCCCAGGCTGGAGTGCAATGGTGAGGTCTTAGCCCACTGCAACCTCCACCTCCCAAGTTCAAGCGATTCTCCTGCTCAGCCTCCTAAGTAGCTGGTATTACAGATGCCCACCACCTGGCTAACATTTTGTACTTTTAGTAGAGACAAGGTTTCACCATGTTGGCCAGGCTGATCTCAAACTCCTGACCTCAGGTGATCCACCCGCCTTGGCCTCCCAAAGTGCTGGGATTGCAGACATGAGTCACGGTGCCCGGCTAATATATATTGTTGAATAAATGAACGAATGAACAAAACCTCTATAAAGGCGGGTGTGATAGTTAATACTGAATGTCAACTTAATTGGTTTGAAGGATGCAAAGTATTGCTCCCGGATGTGTCTGTGAGGGTGTTGCCAAAGGAAATTAACATTTAAGTCAGTGGACTGGGAGAGGCAGACCCACCCTCAACCTGGTTGTGCCCCATCTAATCAGCAGCCAGCACAGCGAGAATAAAGCTGGCAGGAGAATATGGAAGAGCTGACTTGCTGAGTCTTCAGCCTTCATCTTTCTCCCGTGCTGGATGCCTCTGGCCCTCAAATATCAGACTCTATTTTCTTCAGCTATTGGACTCTTCGACTTACACCACTGGTTTTCCAGGGACTCTTGAGTCTTTGGCCACAGACTGAAGGCTGTACTGTCAGCCTCCCTACGATTGAAGTTTTGGGACTCGGACTGGCTTCCTTGATTCTCAGCCAAGCAGATGTCCTATTGTGGGACTTCACCCTGTGATCCTGAGAGTTAATACTCCTTACTAAACTCCTCTTCGTATACATCTACCCTGTTAGTTCTGTCCTGCTAGATAGAGAACCCTGACTAAAACAGTGAGTGAGTGCCTGTTCCCGGAAAAGTGGAGTGTTGAACACTTAAAATCATAGATGTGAGTCACAAGTCACAAGTGTAGCTTACCACAACAGGCTTCAAATTTCATTATCTCATGTTGCAGATGTGGAACTGTGGCAAAGAAAATAAAATCACCTAAAGCCATATAACAAGACTCCACCTTTCTGGACCAGCTTCCATGCTGCCTTCAACCACCCAAGTACCTCAAAGGGTCATTAATTAATAAGATTCAAAAATTAGCAACTCCAAATTTGTCACTAATTCCTCCACAGCTGCATTCCAGGGGCACTTTTCTGACTCCTGCCACAGGCATGTGTGCCTGGAAAGCTGTTCTTTACAACGGCTCTTTCTTTCTCACCTTCCTTCCTTTCTTCCTTCCTTCCTTTGTTCTCTTTCCTTTTCTTTTCTTTCTCCTTCCTTCTTTCCTTCCTTCCTTCCCTCCTTCCCTCCCTCCTTGTCTTTTCTTTCTTTCTTGTGCAGTGGTGTGATCTCAGCTCACTGCACTCTCCGACTCCCAGGTTCAAACAATTCTCCTGCCTCAGTCTCCCAAGTAGCTGGGGCTACAGGCATGTGCCACCATGCCCGGCTAATTTTTTGTATTTTTACTAGAGACAGGGTTTCACGGTGTTAGCCAGGATGGTCTCCATCTGACCTTGTGATCCACCCACCTTGGCCTCCCAAAGTGCTGAGATTACAGGGATGAGCCACCATGCCTGGCCAACACGAAGGCTTTCTCAAATGTTGTTCACCTGTGCAACTTTCTATAGATAGTAGAATCAGGGAAAGTAGCAAATGATGAGTGCTATTAGACCACATAGTCCATCCAAGTCCTTCATTTAAATAAATGAAGCACAAAAAAGGTATTCCTGAAAACCAGGGAGCAAAAGCCGAGTATGCTCAAACCTGTGTGTAAACTTGAGAAAGACGTAGTTTGAAAGTCCAGAGAAAAGGTAAACATGTTCCATCTTTTCATGATTTCCATAATGAAATTTGAGAGACCTGGAATTCTTTTTTAAAAAATCTTCTGGTAAGGTAATTAAAGAAACCAGTGGCTGCTTGCACAAGGATCTCTGCTATGAACTGAGGAGTCTAAACGAAATATGATATCTTTAGAAGTAGGCTTCTAGAAAATTTTACTTTCTAAGGTACAAACTGTCTGTAATGTTTTTATTTTGACTATACATTCCTTTTGTAATTAGGAAAAATAGTAGCAATAAAATAAACCTTAAAATTAAGCAAAGAATATGTTTTTATTTTTTTGAGAAAGGAAGGCTAGATTAAAAAACAAAACAAAAACTAATACTAGGATTCATCACAAACGTGGAGGAGTAAGGCCAGAAGAGCTGACGTCCAGTTGATCTGAGAATAGGAAAACACCCCAGAGACAGTAAAAGAAAACAAAACTGAACTTTTAAAGAAGACCAAAAAAGAGATTTACTATTTAAGGCCAATAAGATAAAGGTGATGGGAGACAAATGGCAAACAAAGCTCTGACTTTTCCTGTCTTCTCCATCAGAGGAAACCATTTTGGGATGGAAATGGAAAAAATCATACAATTGATAAAAAGAGAATAGTATGCATAAGGGTGAAAAGATTGGAAGAGGACATCTCTTGTACTAACTGAAATGAGATCTCTTGGTCTCAACAACTATATCTTAGGGTTGGGAGAGAGAGAAAATATGAGAACTTACAAAAGCGATTGCTTCAGGAAACAAACTTTTGCTAAACATACAGTATGTGCTGACATAGCATTTTCTTATTATTTCTATAGTAATTCTCAAGTTGTACTTGTGGAGAAAATAAAGTGTAGGCTGGGTGCTGTAACTGCACTACAAGGTAGATCTTATTACTCCCATTTTATAGGTGAGGAAACTGAAACTACATGAGATTAGATAGTATGACCAAAGACACATTGCTAACATAGAGTAAGACAATATGTCAGGAATTTCCTCAGTCTGGCTTCATTAGAAAAACTCAAGGATTCAGAAAAGCTTTAATACTCATGGTTATAATTTCTTATAGTGAAAGGATACAGATTTTAAAATCAGCAAAAGGCAAAGCACATGGGACGAAGGCGAGTTATCCTTTCAGTTGACACATGCCCAGTGCTTAATTCTCCTAGCACTGAAATGTGACAAAGGTGTATGAAGTGCTGCCAATTAGGGAAGCTCACCTGAGCCTTGATGTCCAGAGTTTTTACTGGGGATCAGTCATGTAGACATAGTGCCTCCATGGCTGACCTTAGGTAGTCAATCTCTAGTCCCCTAGAGGTCAAACTGATACAGTGGTAGCTAAGGGCCTTAGGCATAC